ACTTCCGTTTCCTCCACTTGGAGTTCTGACGTCTCCCCGGGAATAAGGACTGTGAAGACGTAGGGGACCCTGCTCCCTCGTGGGGAGCTCTGTGTGCATGAGTGTGTGTATGTTTGCCAGTATGTGTGTGTGTGTGTGTGTAAGAGTGTGTATGTACATGAGTGTGTGAGTGTGTGAGAGGGTGTGCATGCATGAGTGTGTGTTTGCAAGTGTGTGGGGGTGCTCCCGGGAAACACCAAAAACTCAGGGTACTGCGCTGTACCTGGAGGAGTTCCGTAGATTTGGAAGGCAGAAATGAATGAATGAATGAATGAATGAGTGAATGGTTGTTATGTGAGCAGAAGAGCCCTGACTGGGAGGAGGGCGGAGGGCACCCTCCTCCCCCGAAGTCACGAGCTAGCCCTGGGCCTGCTCCTGGGCCCTCTCGGGAAACTTGCATCAGGTCTGGAGCCTCAGAATGTCCAGGCTGCTTGAGTTGAAAGCTTTGCCTAAGCATTTAAAGCACTGAATGAGTTGACTCAAGGAAATGCTGAGGACAGGAACAGTGGTTATTAATAAATCATAACAATGATTATTTTCCTTTCAAGACACTCAATTGGCCGTATAAGAAATGGTATCCCTGTGATTGATCAGCTGGGGGAAAGCCTGGGCTGGTCAGGCAGCCTAAGCAGCATCTGCCGGTGAATGAGGCCGCGGGAGCTGGTTCTTCCTGTCTTCTGAGGGGGCCTGGGGCAGGGCAGGCAGGGATCTACTCAGAGACCAGTGCAGGACAGATCCAACCCCGTTGCCCCAGGAAACAAGCCCCAAGCCCCCTGCCTGCCTCCTCCATACCTGCAGCCCTCGGGAGGGTGGTGCCCAGGGCCTAGGAGGGAACAGCAGATCACTCACACTGCAGTCATTTATTTCTTGCTGGGCATCTGCTGTCCACTAGGCTCAGCTTCCACTGTTCTGTGCTCTGAGAGCTCAGCCTTCCTGGGCAGACAGGCCTGGATAGAGACTGTCTCTGCAGAGATGGCCCAGGGCCCGGCTGAGGGCTCCCCAGCATTCCTCAGTGTTGGGGTGCACTGATGAGTCACTGAATTTTTATTGAGCTCCTACTATGTGCTGGCCCTGTTCAAGATGTTATAGGGGGTAGGGAAGGAAGGGCAGGTGTATTCTGGGTCCTACCGGTGCTATGCTCTTGTCAAATGAGACCCTTTCAGGTCCTGTTGTACTAGAAGACAATAGACAGAACCAGAGATGTGCCACTAGAACATTCCATAAAGCCAGATTCCCCACTAGAGACCCCAGAAGGTCTTTAGAAGGGTGGAAGGACCTACACAGTCTTTACAGATTCCCTAAGAAGAGGAAGAGGAGAATATGCAAATAGACAGGAGGCCTGAGCCAACGCACCCCCTCCATTCTTCACCCACAGGGGCCAAGGTTCCGTCAAGGCTCATGTTAGAAATCTCAAGTAATTAAAAAACAAAAGCCTAGCACTGCTGACTTCATTTTACCATTGATCCTCAACCCATTAAAGGAATTTTAGAGATGAAGAAACTGAGACCCAGGGAAGAAAACTCAGTAACTAGGGGACACACCTAGTCCCCTCTCCCACCTCAGTCCTCAGTCAGACTCCACCAGAATACTGGGGTTGGGGTAACCCGAGTGCCCAAGCCGCTAGGGCCCCATATAGCCCCGGGCCCTGGAAGGGGATCAGTCAGTGTCCGGTGAATCCAGCCCTGCTCCAGCCCCTGCACAGCTTGAGATGGGACGAGAGATGGATGGGCAGGTGCAGTCCTGGGAGCAGAGAGGTCCTTCCCGATGCTGTGGGGTCATGTTGGGCACAGGCCCCCGGCTGTCTGCCAGCAGCTCGGCCCAAGCGCTTCTTCCTGCAGAACAGCTGAGGTGCGGAGCCGAGGCGGAGCGCAGTGCAGACCCCGGGCGTGGTGCTCTGGGCACCTGGAAATGGAAGGGCAGCTTTTCTAGGGCTGCAGGGACACTTCTAGAGAATTACTAAGGCTCATTCAAGAGGCGAAGGGGGTCCAGGTGACCAGGAGAACTACAAGGACCCCAGCTGCTCCCGCACCCCCAGCCAGCTCTTCCAACCAGGGGCAATCGGTTAAGTGGGCAAAGGGAGTGAGCAGAAGCTTTATACAGGGAGTGGGAGCCGATGCAAAGATGTCCCCCGATAAGTATCCCGGTAACAGGATGAGCTAAGACAGTAACTAAGTGTCATTTCATGCCACTAAATTATGGAGTAGGAATATTCAAATTATGACATTTCGTGTTGATGGCTATGAAGCAAGTACTACACTAGTATAATTTTGTGAGTTGTAATATATCCACATGCCATTTTTAGAGGGAAGGGTGTAATGGCACCTAACCAGCTAAAAGCTGTAGAAAAGTCCATGCCTTCTGTCCCGTGAGTCCACCCTGGGGACCCATCTCCAGAAAACAGTTCTGCATGGGGACGCCCGCTGCACCATTTCCATTAGCAGGATCCTCGCTGCCATGGTAACCAGTGACGGGACACCATGTCCATGCCACGCACTCTGCCAGACGTGGCCATCTCTCCTCCCCCAGCTCACTCCACAGGGTCAGGTATCGCCCTCCCCCACGCCCCCAGCTTGCCCATCAGCACACTGAGGCACAGACAATTCACAGAGCTGGCCATGATCTTGTATTTCTTCAAATGGACCCCATTGTCTCTTTAATTAAATCACTAACATTGGAAGGACTCCAAATACCCAGTGATGAGGGAATCTTTAGGTAACTCACAGGGATAGTAAATAGCCACAGAAATAAAGGAGGGAAGTAGAGTTTAATCTAGTACGCACTGGTACTCATGGGGACCGGGACCCGCAGAAAGGTGGGGAGCAAAGGTAGGGAGCAGCCTGTGAGTTCAAGAGCAAGTGAAGCTCAGCCCTTGGCGCAGGGCTTCAGAGGTGGGCCACTTCCCTGGAAGGAGGATCCAAGTCGTACCACCTGCCTTCTCTGATTTGCCTTCCCTTTAGTCTCTGAGAAAGACCCTCTGCCCTCAGGGATCAACAGTCCCTCTTCTGTGCATTAGAGTGAGCCTGGAAACAGGCTGCTTGCTCTCTGGGCAGAAGCACAGCCAAGACAAGGCTGAAACATTGAGCACTGCCTCACCGCAGCCAAGGGAGGGCAACGGGGAATCAAGGTGGAGAAGGTGCGGACTGACGTAGTCTGGGCTATCACAGTGGCTCAGGGTGGCAGAGAGGATGATGTCTCCCCTTAATCCCCCTGCTGTTGATGAGCTGACCCCTTCTAGAGCAGGGCCCATGGATGGCCTCCTTATTTTTCGCTCCTGTAAAAGTGGCCGGTTCAGGATTGGATCCCAGGCCATATGTCACTCGAGGCAAAACTGGGGACCACCGAACTATACAATCTCCTCGGCAAGCAGTTGAGTGTCATGGCACATTTAATGCCATGGTAAGACGCAGACATACCTACTAATTAGGGTGGGCCTAAGTAGCCGGTCATGTTTGACAAGCATGACTTACATCCATTCCCTGAGCAGCACGTGGTGAGGGCCACACATGTAGAACTGGGTAAGACATCATGTCCTCCCCACCATGCACCTCAGTCTGCTGGGGCAGAAAGGCAGCCCCAGATAATGGCGAGCCAAGGGTCACAAGTCCTGGTAGGGGAGGGGATGATTCTCTGGAGGAGATTCAGAAGGAAGGTTCTGTAGAAGAAGTATCTGAGCTGGAGCTCACCAAGCATCCAAAGCCAGGAGTTGAGTGAGAAAGGGATGGAAGAAAGGTCCAGGTTAGTGGGACAGCATGGGCAGGGGGTAGGCCAGGCTTAGGGAACTGAGGTCACTGGTGTAATGGGAGGAGCTCACACACACGCACACACACAGAATCGTACAACGCCAGAACTTTGGGTCACAGGGAACATGCATTCTGGTCAGAAGTTAGGCTCCATGGACTAAGAATTACACGTGTGATTACATTTAGAAGAACTGTCCTTCGTAAGTCCAGGATGGCTCCTCCCGGCTACCACTGCCACACTACGCTTGATACTGGCCAGGGAGGGGAGAGGAGCTTTTCCTGAGACAAAGGAGAGGGGGAGGTGATGGGCTAGAGGAGGGTCAGTAGGGGACCTACTGGGAAGGGCAGTACCAGTCCTGGCAGGGTGCCGGTCAGTGGCGTCAAGTGGGGAGCAGAGGAAGCCTGCCGGGCAGATGGGCTCGTGGGCACTCCGAGACGCTGAGGTCGGAGAGACGGCCCCTTTGCCCGGCCAGGGAGCCACTAACAAGTTACGACCAGCAGCTGAGTCAGAGGCCCCGCTGTCTAGGCCCACTCTGCCAAGATGATCCCAGCGAAGCAACAGGGTAGCTTTGGGGGTTCGGGGCAATGGTGTTCAAGTCTGATGCCTCCAGAGAAGGGTGCCATGCAGAAACCAGGGAGGGGGACTGATGGGGCCAGCTCCCTTGGGGCCTGAGTGACAGAAACCCTGGTGGAATGTGAGCTCCAGGAAGACTCAGATTTTTATCTATTCCTTATTTCACTGCTTTATCCCTCACACCTTGAACAGTGCTGACACATACAGGTAACTCAATAAATAGCTGCTGAATGAGTACATGGATGAACCATTGAACAAATGGAAAGATGATGGATGGATGGATGGATGGATGGATTTGTGGATAAATGCATGCATTGGTGGGTGGGTGGATGGATGTGTGCATACATGCACGGATGCATGGATGGATGAACAAACCGGGGGAAATGAAGAACCTAGGAAGCTAGAGACATAGCAGAAGCTAACTGGACGGTCAGGCTGTGCCCCTAGCCCAGGTGGATACCCCTAGGCAGCTGCTGCTGCTGCTGAGGTGTTCCAGCCCGTGCCCCTTGGAATGCAGGGGGTGTATGCCAGGCTCCATCATGTCCTGCTGGCCTAGGCTCCCATGCCTTGGCCACAGGGTAGAGGGGATGCCAGAATGGGGGGGTCACGCGTCCTTCACACTCACTGTGTGTGTTTTTGGCTTCCAGCTCGCTCCAAAAGCCTGGTGATGGGGGAACAGAGCCGCAGCCCGGGGCGGCTGCCCTGTCCCCACAGGCTGGGCCCCGTGCTGAAGGAGGGCTGGCTGAAGAAGCAGAGGAGCATCCTGAAGAACTGGCAGCAGCGCTGGTTCGTGCTGCGTGGGGATCAGCTTTTCTACTACAAGGACAAAGATGAGACCAAGCCCCAGGTGAGAGGCATGTGTCTTGTGTCCTGGGCCATCATGGCAGGGCCCAAGGGAGGGCTAACCATGCCCAGGAGAGGGGAGAAGGCAGAGAGATCCTCCTGTCTGGGCCTCTGCTCCTCAAGCCCCCAAGCCACTGACTTCACTCACAAGTGGCACCTCATCAGGATTTCCAAAGTGGTTTTTATTCTCAGCCCCCATGTTCCGGGCATCCTGGCTTATTTTACTGAAGCAAATCCACAGCTCGAGTAATGAACGTGTCTCCATATAATGTTGGTAGAGAGCATCTCTGCACAGCTTAGGAAAGCAAGTCTTCCCTGGGTTCTTTTCAGCCTCTTGGTAACATCCCTGTTACTTCCACTGTCCAAGGACATGGGTACCCAAGACAATTCTAACCTCAAACTGAAATCTGGCTTACTGTGGAGCCCCCGTGTCCAGTGCCTCTGCTTCTCAGTGGCTGCTTCCGTGTTTGGCCAGTACTGGAAGATCCACCTGGTCTGGAGTTAGGTGGGTGGGAGCCTGTGTACGTCTCAGCAGGCCTCACAGTGTGGAGCTGGGACCTGGGGGGCCAAGAGCGTGCTCAGTGATGGGCAAAGTGGGAGGAGGGACCTGGGCACAGCCTGAGATCACGTGGCCATCACAGTAGGAGGATGGATGACCTTCCCACCCCTCTTTCAATTTTTCTGAGTATGTCAAGGGGAAGCATCAGTTGGGTGCTAGCATCTGTTTAACCATCTCCAGCATTTGGGACCCTCCCTTAAAAAATGGAGACGGGGGTGGGAAGGAGCAGGCCTCACTCCCGAGCCTTCAGTGGTAATAGTGCATAACATTCTGTCTTCGCTATTATTCTAACGGTTAACTTCTGTTTGTGGAAAGTGATACTGGTCTCCATCCATGACAGTGATACCACGTTTTCCCTTCTAAAATGTATCTAAGTTAAAATCAAAAAGCGTTGGGGCGCCCAGGTAGCTCAGTCGGTTAAGCGTCTGGCTCTTGATTTCAGCTCAGGTCATGATCTCTCGGTCATGGGATCGAGCCCCGTGTCAGGCTTCATGCTCAGCAGGGAGTCTGCTTCAGGATTCTCTCTCTCCCTCTGCCCCTCGCCATGCTTGCGTGCTCGCTCTCTCTGTCTCTCTCTAAAATAAATAAATAAATCTTTTAAAAAAAAATCAAAAAGTGTTGCACAGCAATGTGGAGGTACTTAGTGCCCCTGTGCATGTCTCAGCAGGCCTCACACTTAAAAATGCTTAAAACGGGGGGCGCCTGGGTGGCTCAGTCGTTAAGCGTCTGCCTTCGGCTCAGGTCATGATCCCAGGGTCCTGGGATCGAGCCCCGCATTGGGCTCCCTGCTCTGTGGGAAACCTGCTTCTCCCTCTCCCACTCCCCCTGCTTGTGTTCCCTCTCTTGCGGTCTCTCTCTCTGTCAAAATAAATAAATAAAATCTTTTAAAAAAAATGCTTAAAACGGTAAGTTATATGTTATGTAGATTTTACCACATTAAAAAATAAATAAATAACAAGTGTGAGATTCTTTAAGGAAAACTTTTACATGAATGCCAACAGAGAGAAGTGGGTTGGACACAAATCGTGAAGCTGGATCTGAACTATAGTTTAGGAAATCTTGATCTTGTCCAGCCTCCCCGGAAATCCTGATCTTGTCCAGCCTCCCCGGTTGCATAAGGAAGGGAAACGACCCCAGAGAGGTCGAGTAGAACAAATAGAAACTTTGGAGTCAGGCAGATCTGCATTTGATCTGAATGAGGTCTAGCACGCTAGCTTTATGACTTGGGACAAGTCACTTTTGTTTTACTTTTGGTTTTATCACTACTAACTGGAGACATTATTCCCTACATCACAGAAATGTGCTAAGGGTCAGATTATAGACCATATACAGATCTGATTGCAAATCCTAGCCCATGGGTGGGTACCCTCATGCTTCCTCAGCCCTGCCTTTGCCTTGCTCCCTGCCTCCCCGGCCCTATCGCTGAGCCCACTCTCCAGATTGGACACCACATTTCTGGCTTGCCCACCACCATTTTCCTTCTGGCCTTTACTTCTTGTGTTGAAGACCCCCCTTCGCCCTTCAGTGAACTCTTAGTTTTCCTGCCTGACCTGTTAGTGATATATCACTCCGATGACTGGGAAAGTTGCCAGGGCCCCCACCCTCTAGGGGCCCTGTCTGTGGCCCCTACCGTCATCCCCTCCTGGCCCAGCCATGGCACCATCTCCTGGGAGAACTGTGTGTTAATGCTGGGCGAGCCCAGTGGACAAAAGGATCACACTGAGTTGGCCCAGGCCATGTGTGGACCCCTGCCCCAGGCTTCGCCACACATTCCTTATGGTGAGCCTGAGGTGGCCCTCGCCCATCAGCTGCAGCTCCATGATGAAGCTCTGTCTCCCGGATTTCCTAAACTGGACACTTCTCTCCCTCACCCACCAACTTTTCCAGACTTCAGTGGCTTCTGGTGGAAACAGCTAACAATATGGTAGCGTCCATACCCCCAGTCATCAGCCTGAGCACAGGAGGAGCCTGGGGCCCAATCCAAACTAAACCAGGGCATTCATTGCCAGAGAGCCATTGGATCTCTAAAAGGCCCCTGGGTCTCCCAACAGATATCAGCATCATGCCCAGCTCCCCTGTTTTGACCTCTCTGGGCCTGGCTGACACCTCCAAATCCTCTTGGGACACGACTTCTTCCCATAATTCCCCCTCCCCCACAAAACCTGATGGTAGCCCTGTTGCACAGGTTCCCAATCTCAAGGAGACGGTTGGTTAAATTGGACTCATTTAGCTTCTACAGTATGATCTCAAACCCGCATGCCTGCTGGCAAAATAGCCCACACATTTCCACTTAATTGCATGAACTACATGTAATGGACTAATTCTCAATATCTGGTTCCTGGAAAAATGTGCCCTGCTCACTGTTTACAGTGACAGAAGGGCCCAGGCTGTAAGCACTGTCCTGACAGACAGCTTGTCATCTGTCTAGCAGACGTAATTGTGGAGAGCAGGGGCGTCCAGCTACCCTCGATGCTGCCCAGAGCACATAACCCATGACGGGGATGACTCTCAGCCCATATTCTTGTTCTCTCTCAAAGCCCTATCACTTCCCCTGCCCCCTTCTAACTAGCGGAAAGACCAGCAGAGAACATAAGAGCATAGAGATGGGGAAAATTTGAGATGGAAGCAAAGCGGCTGCACAAGGTCAGATGGGAAGACTAGGCAAAGGTGTTTAGAACGGAACCTGGAAATGTGCCCCTGTCCTTCCTGCTTTTCCTAGTGCCTGTCAGCAGACAGACGTTATGTATTCCCTAAGATAAGATTCCAAGTTTTTGCATCTTAGTGGTTTTCGCTTCAGCTGGAAATGTTTCTTGAGCCATGGAACCTCCCGCCACACTCTTTGTTGAGCAACCCGGTGCATTTCTGCAGTTCGAGAACTCACTTTTAGTCTAGTGATCTGACATCCAGGTCCTGCACTTGTGGGTCTCTTGGCTTTGAATAGAAATGGAAAGTATGTCTTTCAAAACATAGGATGGAAAAAGAATGTAACAAATTAAATGCGATCAGTTCAACAAGTGGGCAGAAAATGGGAGGAAGGAAAAAAAAAACAAAACAAGAGGGGAAGGTAAATAGAAAAGAAAAAAACAAGCAAATGGGATGGCAAGGAATAGGTACAACCATTGCCGTCATCATAACAAATGGGACTCAGTCAGATTCACCTGAATCTTAAAAGACGGGGGAAAATTGTCTTTAAAAAAGAACAGAACACAGAAAGGTTAAAAAACAGAACAATGGAGAAAAGATAAGGCATCAAGCAAGCAAAAAGAGAGCAGATTTAGCAACATCAAAATCAGAAATAATAGAATTCAAGGTGATAAGAACAAAGGGGAACAACGAGAAGTATTTCATAATAATACAAATAACATACTGAGAAAATAGAGCAGCTGCAAATGTTTATGTTCTGAGTGACATAGCTTTGAAGGATACATAAACAAAGAAAAACAATACTCATTGTCCTCCCATTTTTTTCAAAAAGTGAAATTATAGAGACACATTCACTGAATATACTGCAAAAGAAAGACTTATAAATTAAGAACAAAATGATAGTGAGGGTGTGTGCGCGCGAGAGAGAAGTTCTATACATGTGGAAATAAAACATATACTTCATGGGGCGCCTGGGTGGCTCAGTTGGTTAAGCATCCAACTCTTGATTTTGGCTCAAGTCATGATCTCAGGGTCGCGAGTTGAGCCCCGCATTGGGCTCTGTGCTCAGGGGGCGTCTACTTGAGATTCTCTCTCCCTCTCCCTCTGCCCCCACCCACTGTCATGCACATGGGCGTGTGCTCTCTCTCTCTCTCTCTCTCAAATTTTAAAAAACGCACACTTTATAATACCTCCTAAATTAATAAAAAAATCAAAAGTTAAATGCAAACTTCTAGTTAAAGATGACAGATTTAAAAACCCCACAACTCCAGGGGCGCCTGGGTGGTTTAGTCGGTTAAGTGCCTGCCTTCAGCTCAGGTCATGGTCCCAGGGTCCTGGGATCGAGCCCCTCGGAGAGTCTGCTTCTCCCTGTCCCCCTCACCTGCTCGTTCTCTGTCTCGCTCTCTCTCTCTCTGTGTCTTTCATATGAATAAATCTTTAAAAAAAAAAAAAAAACCCACAACTCCAGTAAAGAGCACTGACAGGTGCTTTTGAAGGTGTGAACACAGCTAGGTGGAAGGGACAGGAGACAGCTACCATCACAGCATTCTGGATACTAGAAAACAAATGGGCAAGAGGTAGCTGACTCAGCAAACCCCAGAGAGCTCAATTCCAAGCCAGCACTAGGAGAGCACAAAAATCTGTCTGCTTTGCAAAGCAGCACCCCCACCTCCCACCAAAGGTTCAGGAATTGGCAAGACCACTTATCTTTGGAAATGAGGGCAAAACAGGAGCCAAAACCAGGAGAACTGGTGGAAGGTCAGCTTGAAAAGCAGCGAGGTCCCAGATCTCCTGAACAACCT